TTATGATTGTTTTTTTGTTTGTTTGTTTGGGTTTTTTGTTGTTGTTTGTTGTTGTGGTTTGTTTCGGCTGTCAGTTGTGTTCTCCTGAATTTTTATGAGCCTACACCTACACCATAATAGAGCGCTAGATACCGGTAACTCGTAACTAGGAAATCGGCGTACACGATATCTTCTGGTTTATTTTGACATCCTGATGTTGGCCTGATACCGGATGTGGCGTCACGGTAATCCTTGACAAGGGGCGGTAATCGGTGATCAGCGAGGGTGGGCAAGAGGCATCAGTGTTTGTTGCTGTGTTTTGCCCAGGGGACTGCTTGTGTTTATCTGCTCATCGGGCCAATGTGGTGCAGCCGGACGTGGGTCAGGTGTGGTGAGTCCAACTAGATGTCACAAAGGACCTTGTCTCGGAGCGCGATCCTAAATGCTGTCAGAAAAGTTTTTATAATGCGTGATGTTGTGTGTTGTGAGCTTGGCGACCTATAAAACAGCCTATTGAGGCTGGAATTTGTTACAATAACGTTTCTCTTGGTCACATAAATCGTCCAGCAGCTTGATAGAACAACTACAATGTACATTTTAAGCTTGTTGAGCATTTTATTTGTTGGCGAATCTGAAAATAATCCAGTCGACTCTACCACTGCATATATGTAAATGTAAATACAATATCATCACTGGGCCTCTATGAAGTTGACTTAAAACATAATGCCACAAACAATTAGTTGTATGTAAATAAAGTTGCTTGTGGTCTTTCGGCCGTTTCTCGATTTTTTTTTTCTTGATGAGATTCGGCATACTGGACGCGGACAAACGTAGAGAATGTCAAACGTTCCGCTTTCGAAAAGCAAAACGCAACTCTTCCCTGTGAAGATGGACCTGACACCTATAGCATGCTTTCCCTGATTGTCTTCCCAATAAACAAAGTGTGCACCGGTTCTAACCCTCCCCCCCCCCCCCACACACACACACAACCCTACCCGACCTCCACCCTCACCCACCTGAATCCATGAAAACCTATCAATCCTCGGGAAATTCTTAAGGGTCCATGGTTCCGAATGGCTGTGTTATTTGGGTTTCACCATGATGTGAGAAAAGGTGCCTTGAACCTCTCCATAAACGCCTGATAAGGAGATTCTTTTTCTTATTTCTGAGAACAGACTGGTCTTATTAAACCCAGGGTCACGGAGTGGGCAATGAGACTGTTGAAGGAGAGTTTACGTCTGCGGAATTCTATTTATTTAGCGAAGTGTGTTCTCTATAAATAAGGGTGTGGCGCCTGGTAAACTTGGTTGTGCAATGTCTGTAGCAGTGTGTTGAGAATAGAGAGAAACCTGAAGACACTTTGTAAGGCAGTGTACAACACTGAGTGAGTTAAACAGCGCATGTGTTGAGCTGCGGGGTTAAAGTTCAAAAGATCGGAGCTCTTATTTAGCGAGTGAATTTGCATAGTAAACAATCCCTTTTTAAGCAGTAGCTCGGGATTTCTCAACGTTCCTCTCCTTGTCAATGTGCAGGAAGAATGTAGACCAAATTATAAGAATACACGAGTGTATAAGTTATCATACAAACATGGAAAAGGGCTCAGAATGTGTAGACATCCCCTCCCAAAAAAAAAGAAATATGTGTACATGTACATTGTAGGCCAACTGAAGGAAACAAGTGTATGAGGCTGGTCTCTGTGATAAGGTTGTGGTGTGTTTGTGTTTGTGTCTCTTGTGTTTGTGTGTGTGTGCGTGTGTGTGTGTGTGTATGTGTGTGCGTGTGCGTATGTGTGTATGTTTGTGTGTGTGTGAGTGTGCGTGTGTGTGTGCGTGTTTAAGAGTTAGTTCTTGTGTATGTCTATGTGTAAAGGGATTGAGTGGATGTCCCAAGAAGTATGTATCCCAATGTACGAGCTTGACGTTATATATTGTGTAAGGTTCAAACGACATTTTCACGTCAAAGTGAACGGGCACCACGTGATACAACAGCACGGCATCTAATAGACCGGTACATTATACACAGGCTAGGAATCTCTTCAAGCAAGTCGAAAAGGAATCTGATATAGGATAAGATCCGTAAACCTTAGGTGAGAAAAATAAGAATTCCTCCTGGCACGAAGCACTTGTAGGGACTCTGGTAGGAAGCCATGTCTAGTCCCAAGGGCAAGATCAAAGCCAGATTTTGGGTGCCTGGGGAGTGGCGTCCCTTGAACCCGTCTCCAGATGGCGCTGTGAGCAGTCAAGTAAGGGGAGGAGGAGACCACTCACAACTTTTCATCAGCTTTGATTATCGGCCGTTGGATCCCAGTGGTTTAAATTGCGATGATGATGCGGCCAGATGGGGTGTCGATGACCCTCCCGTCAGTAGTGGCTTGCTCGTCTGCCGTGATAAGTCCGCCGTGATTTCGCCGCGGGGACGATCATTACTCTCCATCGTCCAACCGAAGCGGCGTGCCAGCCCTCCAGAAATTACGGTAGCAATGAGCCACTAATGATAACGATCTCGACTTTTCATAACTTTACGCGGAATTTTGTAAGATCCGTAATTATCATTGGTTGCGATAAGCGCACACACACGCAAGCCCTTCCTTAACCCAGGTTCTTAATCTTATGAACCTCCTTGGGGTTCAAAGATTTGCAACACTCATTGAAAAGTTCATATACCTTCAATTTCTTTCCCTTAGCAGAAGTGTTGCGTATACAAAATGTAGTTTCCTGTTGCCGGGAGCTTTATTATGCATATCATTCACAATTGAAATTTTTTTTGGGCTTTTTGTTTTTGTTTTTGTTCAAATACCGTATTACACTGTGCAACTGCGGGGGAAAAAACAGTGGGGTATTTTTTTTAAGGGAGATTTTCGAAAAATGCCAGTTGGCATTTTAACCCCCCCCTACCCAAACTTATATGGGGGATACGTTTCTATTCCGGCAAGGAAAATGAGTTGAATTATGCCACAGAATAGAGAAATGGTATTAATTTGTATTGCTGCTTCAGCCAGAGGGGTATAAAAAAAAACAAAGTCAGTAGGTGGGTGCACATGTTGGCCCTCTTACACATTGATTTTGGTTCTGCGGACGTGTGGGTATGTCTTTAAGATTTAAGATTTGTTGAAAGGGGGAGCAGTAAGTGACAAAAACGTGCGATAAGTCAAAAAAAAAATGCACGTGTACGGGGGGAAATATGTGGGTTTTTTGTTGGTTTTGTTTTGTTTTGGGGGGGGGGGTTTGGCGGGGGGGGGGGGGGGGTATTCCAAGCTTAGAGTTGTAAATAATTGCTCGTGGAATCTAAACAGTGTAGAGGGGAAAGCCCCAAGAATGTATTATCTTCCCTTACCTGTTTACGAGGTGCAGACCTGAGTCAGCGTGTAGTAAATATGGTACAGGTGTGCCGCATTCCAGTCGTATTCGTGAAATGTCTATGTAAGCACAGTGAAGGTTTTTCTTTAAAGCATGCAAGGTCAGGGAGAGCAGGTGAGAGCAATGGTATTCTTTCTTTTTTTTTAAAAGAAGTCCAATTGACTGCCATAAACGTACAAAAAGATTGACTCAAAAATAATTTCCTGAAACGGAAATATATAAAAACAATATTTGAGGTCGTGAAGAAGTTGAATTTTGTATGCCTTATGGCTTTAACTTTGATTTAAACACTTTAACTCTAACGCTCTTCAAAAGTACGTCCCCTGAATTCAACGTGCGTCCATCCCCAATACGATCGGCCAAAACAAGTGGCGTACGAGAGTTTTCCCAAAGCAACTGAAGATCAAGATTGACACTCCTGGCGATTGAAATTAGGGTGCTCCGCACCATGGCCTTGCACTGTGCACGATACCAACTGAGTAAACGGGGAGGAAATGACCCACGGCCTGTGGGAGGAAATGGAGCCAAATTCTAATCTGCTGATCTGAGAATAATGTTTCTATTTTTAGGAAAAGCTCCTAAGGGTTAAAACAAATCTTTCACATGCATACCCCCCCCCCCCCCCCCCCCTCTCTCTTTCTCTCTCTCTCTCTCTCTCTCTCTCTCTCTCTCTCTCTCTCTCTCTCTCTCCTCTCCTCTCCTCTCCCTCTCTCTCTTTCTGTGTCTATCTGTCACTCTCTCACGCTCTCCCCCTCACCCCCCCACCCCTCATACACATGCGCATGCTTTTTTTTAAAAACGCTCAAATTACTCTCGCACAAACACACTGTTTGTATCCCGTCTTCCTTCTACCCGCTCGTCCAACCCAGAATCATTGTTGTTTTTGTTGCTGTTGTTATTTTGTTGTTGTTGTTTTTTTCTTCTTCCTCATCATCATCATCTTCTTCTTCTTCTTCTCCTACTTCTTCTTCTTCCCCTTCCTCCTCCTCCTCTTCCTCCTCTTCCTCCTCCTCCTCCTCCCCCTCCTCCTCCTCCTCCTTCTCCTCCTCCTCCTCCTCCTCCTCCTCCTCCTCCTCCTCCTCCTCCTCCTCCTCCTTCTACTTCTTCTTCTTCTTCTTCTTCTTCTTCTTCTTCTTCTTCTTCTTCTTCTTCTTCTTCTTCTTCTTCTTCTTCTTCTTCTTCTTCTTCTTCTTCTTCTTCTGATAGTGGTGTCGTTGTTGTTTATATCGGCCAAGCTGTTGTTGACTACTGTCCGCAGTGTAAAAATTAGGCTATTTGCTGTTGCGCGCACAAGATAAGTTCGATTCCAAAGTGGGCAACTTCTTTCTTTAATCTCTGTTAGATGAAATGCTGTGAACCACTCCCGCCCTGGTTACACTGGCAGCCAAGGTTGGAACTTAGCCTGCCTCCAAAGTGATCTAAACGGTGTCGACAGAGCGTCATTATCTTGCCTTTGTTATAATTTTAAAAAAATTAAATCCAGCAACTGCTGAGCCTTTGTCCTAAAGTTGGCAGTCAGCTAGAAGAATGTACAAGTTCTTGCTTCACTTGTTTTATTGTTCTGTGTGATGTGGATATTATTAGTAAGTCGATAACACACTTCATGCCAGTCACTCTAACGAAAAAACTGACCTTAAAGTTATTGTATTCCTTGATTGTCTACAGGTGTTCTGGGTGGGCCCCCTCACCGGAGGACTTCTGGCCGGTCTGCTGTACGAGTACATCTTCGCCGCTGGCGCCACCTTCGCTGGAGCCAAGAAATGTCTGCTGCGCGCCAAGAAGCCGAGAAAACAAGCGGAACCGGAAAAGGCTCCTCTGGAGGAAGTGAAGACCGACGGGATTGAGATTGACGAGTCCAAACTGACAGAGCCTGACGCCAAAGAGGAAGTTGTGGAGGCAGACCCCGAGAAAGAGAAAGTGGTGGAGGAAGTAAACGATAAAGAGGCTGCCAAGGAATAAATAGCATATGTACCCCAATTATTACGATAACTATGTTTAATTAGGTGGGAACTTTCCCTAAGTTACCAAAATTTTAATATCGGCAATGCTCATGTGAAAATTGCAAAAGAGACTTTTTTAATTAATGTGTATAGTCTTTTTATATATTCGGCATTCTGTCTTCCAATCTCTCGTGATTAGGCCTATAACTTTCGCACCAACAAGACTGAGAATAGGCAATGTAAACCTTTATTATACGAAGAATACACAGGCTCATTTTATTCAAAGCCTTCTATAATGGAAATACAATTATTTGTATTATTTATTTTGTCCATGTTTTTCACTTCAGATAGAATCTGAGAATGAAAGCTGATGCAGTGGTTCTGATTACTTGATTTATACGTGTTTCTTTCTCTTTCATTATCAGCAAATCCGTATAACTTTAATGCCAACTTCGGGCATGACTTGGGAAAAGACAAACCAAACACGTCTTACTGATGATTAAAACTAATTGATGCAAAATGGTGTCAAGAACAGCGGGGTATGATCGTCTGAAAGTCTTAACTATTTGTCTGCTATACGAGAATAGATGGTAAAATGTTTCACAAAATACGAAAAAAAAATTGTTATACCTTATATCCATTATACGGGTGTCTTTTTTACGCGCTGTCAATAAAATGTACGTACCCCGTACCCTTTTGCTATTGACGTATTTCTCTACATTCATCAACTATGCAACTGTGTGTTTAAGATTTGCAGCAAAAAGTTTAAAGTGCAGCTCAAAATGGTGTGTTCTCGTTTGTCGGCAGGTCACCCCAAAGTGTCTTGTGAATTGCAATATAAAAACACTGCCTGATTTGAAGAAATAGTGTAAAGGTTTTTGAACGACGAGTGTGTTTGTTTATCATGCACATTGTACATTTCAACTCATCACCCATTTAGTATTTTTAGCATTATATTCGACTAAGTTATTAAATCTATAATTGTTAAGGTAATTTTGTGTCGCAGAATCGAGATTTTTGTTGCTGGGTATCATCGCAATATATATGTAATTATATACGTCTTTTTCTATTTTGCTACTGCCTTTTTAAAATATGTATTTCGTTCACGAAACTTGAGTGCGTGGGTTTTTTAAAAATTCAAATAATCCTATATCTTTTTCTATGTGATGGTATCTGACAGACACATGTGCTACCCTGCGTGATTTGTCAAATTCATTTGTGACACATGGTGAATGTTTCCATGATAATTATCAAAGTAAACTTACGGAAACATCGTACTGAAACCATAGGTTGGTTTTCTTTTTACATTTTCATATTTCAACAAAATATTTCGTGTCCAACCGTTTAAAACCACTTGAATCAATCATTAACACAGAATAATCAAACTTAGAAAAGTGTTTCTTTAAATACCTCTGCGCTCTTATGTGCTTGTGGAAAACTAAGGTTGTTTGGCAAATTCGCGTATCTGGAGTTCGGTGTTGTCTGCCAGGTGCCTTAGTATAATATATTATGCCGTGTATCAATTTCGTTAACAATGCTTCTGGATAATATTGTTTATTTGTAATTCGAAGTAAATAAATATCAAACAGTTTTACCATCACACTGTCAGCTCAATAATTCATATATGTATATATAATCTGATTTCTAAGACATGTACATTTAGTCCGTAACTAAAACTTAATTTGCTTTTTGTTTCCTTTTTTTTTTGTAATATGGCTGTACCATAATTTGTTTCCAGATTTTTCCAAATAACGATTGCTGTTCTTTAAAGTGGAAAACGCAACTTTCTCAAAGTTTTCGAGAATTTCACTTTCGTAGATACTTTTCATTTATATGATTTGTAAGTGTAAGGTTATGAGGAATGAAATGTTAGCAAATTTACGTACTACCAAGTTCTTAATGTGTAGGATTTGCTTCTTTTTCTGTATTTTCTACCTGTAAATATACATACATCATTAAATTCACCATATAATATTCTCATTGAAGGTTTCTGTCTTATTTTTCTCACACGTTTATTATCTAACACACACACGCAACACGCAGCCATACACGTACACACGCGCACGCACACACACACACACACACACACACACACACACACACACACACACACACACAC